CAATTTGTTCATCCTAAAGCATCCCGATTGCTCAAAAGCGCTACTATGATCAAATTTCCGGATTCCATAAGAAAATCTGGTGCATGAGTTTTTTGTTGTTGTTGTGTTCCCTTTTAGATTTCCGTGTGTACGTGAGTTACAAGCGTGTTAGTAGAAGCACAGTCATCACGTTGCTTGACGACGCTTATATGGCCCACTCTTTCTAACATACTTCTCTCTCGTACACATAGACATCTAAAAGGGACAACGACTTTAGCTAGCACTGTATATAAAATGCGTATCCCGGACACGCCCCTGGCCGTCCCCTAAAACTCATGTGATTAAACCCATGAGGGCCATAGTATCGCAATCGCAAGCAACAGGATAAGCGTCCTACGGTATCAATTATACAACACCGATACTAACGATAGACAAATAATGCAGTGCAGCAGTGTGCATTTAGATTCCTTGCCCCCCTCTGAAGCGCACTCGCCAATTTTATTGCTTAGCCAAAGATTTATCGATATCGACTTTAATGGGCTGTTTTCAATTTATACTTGTAGGTGCATCTTGAACCGATTCGATGTGTCATATTGATGGTTAATGAATGTTTGTGTGCATAGATTAGAAAGTATTTTTGAAAATGACGTTGATTAGATCGACACTATATTTTATACTTTATGGTGGTATAAAAATGTCTAACAGTTAAATGTTCTCCGTACATTCACCTTTACAAGTTCAAATTGTAACACTTTTGAACACACCATAAAATATCCCCAAAACATAAAAAAAAGAGTTAAATATTTTGATTTGAACTTTATTAACTCTATTCGAAATGTTGGGTACATGAAAATGCTAAGTCTTAGTGGCTACAAGCATCTACAAGCAAACAAAACTTAGAACACTTACGTATTTTGGGACGTAATTCGAATGTGGTCATGAAAGATGCTAAGATGTATACTAAAGTACCGTAGAGCCTATCCTGGAGTGAAGAATTAACCGCCTGAGACGACTTGTTAATCCAACTACCAAAATCTAGTCATAGTCATTCTAAATGTGTCTACAATTTTTTCATGCAACATATCCATTCAAGTTATCGGCACCCGTATTACGTAACTTAAAAAGTGACATTATACTGATTTTTAATGCCATTATACGTATATAGGTTTTTCCGAAAAAAAGGTCCCCTTGGAACTAGCTGCTAGCTGTCATTCACGTCATGTTCACTTGTAGGAGCTGTGCGTATGTCACTTGGTTCTGTCTGATGTAGCTTTCCTTTTGGCCACTTTTTCAGGTAATCTCACCTCATTCCACCTCGTCTCACATTTCAATGGGTTATATTTGTCTAAGAGAAGTGACATTCTCACTTTCCTCCTCGCCCCTAGAGTTATTATATTATATTGATTTCTATCTGAAGATAACCAACCTAATACTACATTCGCGCGCCCAAAAATTATTCGAGATGAAATGAGATACCGAGATACCTATGAGAATTTGTCATAGCAATGTTTTACCTCTAATTATGAATGTAATTTGAAGAGGTTAGTGCATCAAAGATGGCGCTGCAGTCAACTATATGTGCATATAGCTACAACGCCATCTATGATACAATAAACTTTTCAACATTGATTTCTGATAATTATAATTAGGCAAAGGAAAATCATTTCGTCTGGGATAATTTTTCGGGCGCGCGAATGAGGTATTTGGTTTGCTATCTGTAGGTAGATTATGTTAATGAATGGTCATACCCCTGAGGAGGTTACATGCGAACGAGACTAGGATTATGATGCTGAATTCGAAAATGATTGTGGATAAGTCTAGAGTGTCAAGTATCGTGGAACCGAATATGGGGTTAAAAATTCATCAGCCTATAGAGTTCCTGCGCCAAATTGACATCTGATGCGAAATCTGCGCACCCGATTGAATTATGAAAAGAGTCAATCCAGATTATAAAGGGCAAGGAATATTGATTTTTTTTTAACAAACGTCCCGAATTAGAATTTCCGTCACAACGTATTCCTCTCGCCTATGGACTGAAAAGCAACTTCAAGTATACGAGAAGATTTTGACTACAATGCGGACAGCAAAGCATTATAAATTCCAAGAAGTAGAGGACGATGATATTCAACATTTAAGTGCAAACCACAGCATGTCGTTTCTAAACGGATTCGACCGTTTTATTTTAATGTTTTATGTATAGTGACGTGACCAGGCGTACAAAACTCGGGGCAATATTTTCAGGCAGTCCGCATCCGCTTTTTATATCAAGATTATTCTGGCATTATACATTTCATTTTTATTTCAGATATTTTTGTAACAAGCGGTCAGTATATGAAATCTGAAATTCTCTCTTTCTCAAGAACATGTTATCCGTTCTGTACCTTTTATATTATTATTTATATTTGTCTGTCCTTACACAATTTCTCGATATTTTTTAAATGTTATACATTTTTACAAGAGAATTAAACGATTTCAACCTGGCACCCAACCGATAGACACGATATTTCCTTCCGCTACTTTTCGAGTCAATGAAGCTGTAACCGTGATGCTCGTAAGAGCAACATTACATGGGGTTACCGGGAGCATATTGTCAAGAATCGATGATAAAATTGATTTAAGTACTGTACCTGGAGACAGCCTGCATATATCCAACTAACCCTCCAGTTCCCAACGACTCCTGGAGAGGATCAAATTCAGATATTTTTTCAAAAATTCCGCTTTAAGATTTGTAGCGAAAAAATGATATAATCTTAGATTGGTAGAAACATGAACAACGTGCTTTAAAGTCGTTCTCTAGATCGCATTTTGCGCCTTTTTGAGACTGGCTTCTATTTTAGATCACCATACTTGCCATAGAAACGAAAAGGATTACGATTCGTTTTTTGAATGTATTTTTGTTCAAATAAACAAATTTTTAAATGTTGTGATAAGTAATTATACTTATTTTTCATGTTTGATAACTCAGGTCCCCTCCAGGTGAGCACGTTGATGTAGTTATTTTTATTGAAACATGACTGCGTATCAGAAATATCTTTTCTGTAAATAAACACTTAATCCTAAGTAACATATGATATAAAAATACAATAATTATGTTACATTATGCGATAAATTTTATTATAAACTCTAAAGCAAACATTTAAAATCAAGAGCAAACAGATTAATTCTTTGAATTTATAATAAAGTTTATTATTTGCGTCTCTCATTCACTTCCATGCCCAAGGTCCCCTATAGGAACCATATGTTATTTTATATTTATCTAATTAGCCACAATAAAACCTATAATAAAAAAATCTATCAAATATTTGCTGAGCTAAGGTCATTTTTGAGAGTTAAAATAAGCATCAAAGAAGCGGAGAGCGATTGAAGATCCTAGCACTATGTATGAGACAATAGCGGAACAAAACACCGAGGAAACTTCTAAATTCATTTTTGTGTTTTTATACCGTCTCATAGGTGGCGGTAGAATACGTTAAACAGTGCCCTAACTCATTTGCTTGTGCTTTTTCAATTTTCATTGACAGAATCCCGCACGTTATTTAACGCATGACGCCCATAGGATATTAGAACTCAAATTACATCATTTGCGTTTGATTATCCTTCAGTTAAACAAGATGAGTAACTGTGACCGTAACACATCTAGCTCATCCACTTTCAGTGGAAATGAAGCAAACTCAGGTAAAAGAGTCTAGGAGGACGACGTCCATTTTCTTATCATCTTCGAAACAATGGATTGTTATTTATCTCGTTCTAAAACGTCGTCGAAATCGAAAAAAAAAAACGGTTGGACGGATATGCGGCGCGCACTGAGGAATCGAAACACAACACACCGGCCAAAGACATAAATTACGGACAGGTTGAGAAACGAGTCTTCGGATAGCTGCGGCATTGCCACATCTGACGCGTAAAAAAGTGGCAGCTAAACATTGAAGAGGTATCACTGGAGAGATGATTCAGATGCTAAGAACGTCTTCAGACTACATGCTCATTATAGCACGTTCCATTATACGAAATAGGAATATGACTACGTACTTTACCTCAGAGGTATTCCTTACAACAGAGAAAAATCGGCCGCTAGTATTTTCTCCAATTTATCCTCAACGATCAATTCGCAGTTAAGCGGTGTTGTTTTTGCATGTGCGCAATTCTATTTAGGACCGGTCGTACTGCGGATGTATATAGGATGTTTGGAAGGTCGATACAAAGTCTTGGGGAGGAAATAGGGTAGACCATTTAAGCCTCAGTACAAAGTCTTACGGTTTTCGAGATATTCGGATTTTCAAATTTAAATCATAAATTAGTAAACGAAGCAAAATAAATTATTGAAACATGCTTTATTGGTGTTCAAAGTGAGAACCATTGTTTCTAATACATCCTCGAGCTCTACGTGTTACTTCCGTAGTTATTGTATTTAATAACCTGTCTTGCTGCATTAAATAAAAACCTTCTCGAATTTTTCTTATTAAATGTCTTCAGTGTAAACTAACTCTTCAGCCCGCCCCCAGAAATAGAAATCCAATGGTGTCAAGTCCGGGGATCTAGCAGGCCACGGAATTGGTCCACCTCTGCCTACCCGGCTGTTTGGAAAAGTATCGTCCAAATATTGTCTTACGTCTAAGCGGGAATGAGCTGGACATCCGTCGTGTTGGAAAACAATTCGCATGTCATCTAGAATTTCTACTCCTACAAGTAATTCGGGAGGCATTTTGCAAAAAGTGTAGATTACGTCTTCGTTTAATTTGTCAGACAAAAAATGAGGATCGATTAATCTTTGTACCATGACGGCGGCCCATACATTAACGGAAAATTTGTGCTGGAAAGACACCTGTTTTTTCCAGTGTGGATTTTCCTGCTTATCAGCCCATTGACGCAAATTGTGAAAATTTATAAAGCCCTTCTTTAAAAATTGGATTCGTCCGTCCATAGAAGGCTTTCCAGAAACCGTTTATTCCCAATGTCACTATGTAAGAGAAAACGACAAAATTGGCTTCTGTGAATAGGATCAACATCGTCAAGTCCTTGTACGCCGATACCATGAAAATGATATTTTCGTTCACAGTGCATGATACTCCAAACGTTCCATGGCGACAAACCAAGATCAGCAGCAAATTTCCTAGTACTTGTAGTGGGATCATCTTCAAACGCTTGGAGGATTAGATCTTCGGCTTCAGGAGGATATCGACCTCGATTAACACCAGGTTCATTAAGTGTTAGACTTCCAGTCTCGTAAAGACATCGGTAAGTATTGTAAAACACTCTGACATTAGGCAATCTTCTCCCAGGAAATCGCTCTCGGTACAACCGTCGTGCGTCTAGTCCATTGCCGTCTGCTCTGCCATACATGTAAACGATATCTGCGTATTCTTCGTTAGTGAAAGCGGCCATTTTACAAATTAATTCAGGGTTTTTAGACTGAAATTCATGAATTACTATTGACTTATTTGGAAAGGAATAAAGCAAGAATATGTGGAATTTAGTTTTATCATGCACGCAAACACGTTCCTTCTTACCAGTATCACAAAAATAGGAAAACGTGTATTTATCATTTGTTCACAGTCAATTTGTTTTTCTTTTCTCTATCTTCGGAGAAAAAACCACACTGTCAGGTATTTAAAAACTATTTAATACAGCCTGATGTTCTTTCAGTGATAACAGGAACAAAAGGCGTATTTTTTTCAATATCGAAAATCTTGAATAACTTAAAAACCGAGTTTTTGAACTAAGCTTGAAAGGTTCTAAATGGTCTCCCCAAGACTTTTTATCGACCTTCCAAATACCCTAAATAATGGGGAATCTGAACTAAAACCGATACACCTGGCTTGCTATTGTAGGACGGTGATGAAAAAACCATCAAATACAAGGGACGTGCAGACCAGAGTTACCTACCAGCCACTTTTCTCCAAATGACTGGATGAGCAAGTTTGTGACGTAAGCCATGGTGTCCCCAGTTGACCTCTGATATTGGAAAAATAGAATCCAATGCAGATGGTCATTGTTCATTTTTTCTTTCCACGCCAACTGGCGAGGAAGTATTTTAATCGAAAAACATTTTGATATTGAGATGTTATGGTTTTTGGATGTTATATGACATGTAAATCACGAAAAACTATGTCAATTCTTTCCGTCGGTATGTCTATCTGTCTGTACTTAACGCCTCTATAACTTGGAAAATATCGCTCGGATTTTGATGAAATTTTCACACAATATTACTACTATGCCGAGGACAAAAACGTTTTTGAAAATCAGTTCAGTGGCGACGGAGCGAGGGGAAAAAATAAAAATCTCTCAAGCCGTTTTTTGACGTTTCACAGGCTCCTTATCATTTTCGGAAAAATTCTTGTAGGGGTTAAAAGTTAGTAATTAGGAGTTGCAGAGGATGGAGGAGGGTAAATATCATTTTTTACGTTGGTATATTTAAAGGCCTCGAACCCCAATAATTCTACGCACCTATTAGGCATATTTCACTCATCATAGATGAGATATAACTTTAAAACTGAGAAATGTCCTCAACAGTTGCGTGTCAATCGTGCTACGTGGTTCCCCGATGGACGAGCGTCGTACGTTACAGTGGACAATCGCTTCCGCACTGCTGTGGACTGAGTGCACTGTGCATGGTGAAGGCCAATGTTCTCATTCACGCGGGATTGCATACCGCAAAGATCATGTGCGCCTGCAGGAGTTTCTCTCAAGTGGAGGAAAAAGGTAATTTTTTCTGTGACGGGAAAAAAGTTTGACATTTTATCTCTGTTGACAGGTAACAAAATGTCACTTTTTATGAAATTACTTTTTTCACCAGGAAAAAATGAGTACTTTATTCCCGGATATTGTATAAACGATTTAGCTGGCAATAATTTTTGTGACGCTACTTTGGCTACTTCTGCTAATTCCGGTGGAGTCAAAGAGAACTCGGAATCAGACATTTTTTACTTTATAGTATTAAAAATAACTTGTAAACAACCACTAAGTTCGCAATTTTTAAGTCAAATCACAAAATTGAATTGCTTTAATTTTTCGTTAGATATACAGGTTCGTACCTAACTTTTTTTTCAGAATAATAAACAATCATTTACCAACTGATACCACCGTTGGGTGGGAAGTACAGAGTGAACTTACTTGACGCAATTTCTTATCTATTTGAAAAAAAGGAAACTTTACTATTATTTGTTGCTAGTTCATGAGAAATAATGACATTTAGAAGCACTGCAACGAAAAATCAATGGCTTTGTAAGAATTCAAAGAAAATTTTATGATTGATCAGACTGATTTTACACAAAACAATCTATCAAAAAGTCGAACTTGCAACTGATTATTATCTCCGTTATCAGCCCCAGACACTTTATATTTTTGTACCAGATTATACCTTATCTCCATCCTTATTTTAGTCTCATTCATAGCCGTTTCAGAAGTTTCTCACTGAGAATGTGGATTAAGATGTGACAAAATCGATATATACTCTTCCCCGCCCCCTACAATCCTCAACCCCCCAATTTTTAGCCCCTACAAAAAAATTCTGAAACGGCAAAAAACTATGCTTGAACGATTTCTATACTTAGTGACGTTAGAAGTGTTACACCCACAAGAAATAATGTTTTTAACTTGTTTTTTGGCAACATAGTGACTATATTTAAAGCATGCTGAGACAACAATGTCAACGTTTTAACTTTGTTTTTGTTTTAACCTTTGTTAAAATGTTCTCTCTTAGTTTTTGTGAAGAAAGCAGCTTCTGAGAGCTGAGTAGCACATATATTTTTAGTTATTGCCCTAGTGTTAAGCATAACAAAATGCCTCGAGTTTCTAAGATGTCCAAATTATCACCATGTTAGCCACTTTGACAGGGGTGGAATTATTGCCTATCGAGATGCTGGTTTGTCCCATCGCGTTGATTATACTACAATGACGGTAATTCGTGTGAGTCGGGTGTGAATAGAAGAAAATAGAGGAACACCAAGAAGGCCAACTGGTCCACCGAGGCATACCACAGAGCGTCAAGATAGGCGCTTCAGACAACTAGCCCTACGAGACTGTTTTGCTAATACGCGTCAGATCGATGAGCAATGGTTTGAAGAAGAAGGTAAGACCTGTTACTATGCGTACACTCTATCGCCGCAATCCAGCCTTTGACTTTTTTCATACCGTCCACGGTTAGTGTTTACTCTGACTGAGGACCACTGTTGTCAACGTTTGAACTGGAGCAGAGAATGGCAACACTGGGAGACAGGCATGATGTCATATTCAGCAACGAAACGGGATTCTGTCTAGTTCCGTCGCCACTGGGCCAATTTTCAAAATCTACGTCATTCGCATGGTATCAACTTTGTGTAAAAATTCCATCAAAATCCAAGCAGTACAGTTATAGGCGAACCAAGGATTAGCGGACAGGCCGACACACCGACAGAAATGAGTGACATGGTTTTTCGCAAAAAAACATATCTGACTTTCGCGATTACAATACTTGCCAGTGTGGGGAACGTGAAAAAGGAGAGCGAACGAAATTTTTGACACTGAGACAAAGTATTAAAATCTATCTTCATGTGTAATATAAAAATGTAGCTAGCTAATAACTAATACATTTTCAGTTAGAGGATTTTACAGAAAACTACTAACAGACTGGTAGAAGTGAATAACATGATTTTTGTGTGATATACGTTTGCCAAAAACCGTCAATAAAACCAACTCTCTCGCATAAAAATTTTGGAAGGTAAATTTTGTGCACCGCCACTGTCATGCAACAATTTCTCTCGTGCATTTAAAACAGGTTTATCATTTTAAATCTGACTGTAGTGGATTTCACTAGTGAACGATTGAGTGGCGATATTACAAAAGATAAACAAATCAAAATGTATAATATTGGGATGTTTAAACCCATTCATGGAGTAATATTATCAGGTAAGTTTGAAATGTATAGCTTTTATGAGTGTGTATAAGTATCGTTGCAAAAACAGCGAAATGTCACAAAACAAGCCCAAAGTTTGCAGAAGGTCAATTTCTTATATTCGGAGGAATACGCTATAAATTGAATTAGCTTTAGCCATACCATAAGTCTGACACAATAATTGATAGAACGATGGATAGAAGGTAGGCCAAGAAAATACGTCGAAGAAAAGAACGGACTGTCTCCCTCACAATATGGATTTAGAAAGGTCAACCATAGACGCACTTAGTGCAGTGGTGCAGCTAGCAGAAACAGCCGATAGCGGCAGCTACAGACACAAGAGGGGTTGCGTTATGGTTGCCTTCCACGTTAAGAATGCCTTCAACACGGCACAATGGCAGAAAGCCATCGAATCTCTCGAGAAGATAGGCACTCCTAGCTATCTTAAAGAGCTATTTCAATAAAAGGACATTAATGGTACGACAAGAGACGAAGAAGATAACTATGGGAGTGCCGCAGGGCTCCGTCCTAGGGCCGCTGCTTTGGAACGTATTCTACGATGGGGTCTTTAGGTTACAGACACTTCCCGGATGCCGCCTGATAGGGTGGTGGACCTGGCGAAGATAGTCACTAGCAAAGAGAGAGGTAAACTAGAAAGAAAGGCTTTTGGCTTACGGAATCATTAGAATTACCATTTGGATGGAAGGAAATTAACTCATGAGAAAACAAAAGTAATTATATTGGCGGACAAAAGCTAACCTCTCTAGCGATTAACGTTGAAAACGCCAAGATTCCAAGCCAAAATGCAATTACCTGGGTGTGTGGCTCGACAAAGATCTGAACATGACGGAATACATCAGGCGTACCACTGATAAGGTAAAAATAAAGTCGTTGTAATCTTGATCTAATTTGATGGAGGCACCAGTAGTGACAAGCGTAGGATTTTCGCAGGGGTGGCCAACTTGATTATGCGGCACGGAGTCTATATCTATAATAACTGATGCTCAGAAGCCAGCGAAAAATGGTGCTGCGCGGTGTCGATCGACGCACTGCTGGTGTTGGCTGGAATTTCGCCAATTGATTTGCTTGCTGAGGAGATTTTCACTCTATAAAAAGGGCACCGAAGCTGATATAAAAACTTGGATTAACAAGAAAGCATTGCGCACAGATTACTATGCTGCATGGTTCCTCACAGGACATGTTTCGAAAAGGGTAAGGAAGAGACAGTACGCAAAATGCGTATATTGTAACGAAGAGGAGAATAAGCAAGATAGAAGCGTTTAAAAAAACGAAGAGCCACTTTTGAAGCATCAATAGTATCTTGACGGCATTCACTGTAAACTAACATCAAATCGAAAAGGTTGGTACTGCTATATGAATACGTCATTTTTTCAAAAACTTATAAACAAACAGCTCAGTTTACCTAGCGCAGTGCTTGGGTTGATTACGCCGCACGTCGTATACTTTCACTTGATAATTTTTCTGAAGATAGGGCCGAAATTGATATCGTAGGTTTTTTCCGGAACTTAATAATTTAGTTAAGACCTTAGTGTATGTGATCCATGATAAAATGCACGTTTATACCACTATAACTCTTCACTTAGTATGTTTGTATATTGCAAACAATGCATCGAATGGTCGTAGAACTTCGTATATGGATGCTCATATTATTATTTTATTTCTAACCCAGCTTTAACTCTAATTTTCTAGTTGTGCTGATGAATATAGCGACCGGTGCAATGGTAACCTGGTCATCTCCTGTCATTCCAAAACTGACAACTGGCAACTACTACGGTCGACCTCTAACTACCGATGAAACGACTTGGATGACGTCATTAATGACACTTGGTGCCGCTGTCGGTACCTTAGTTTCAGCATGTATCGCTGACCGTATCGGAAAAAAGAAGGCTAGTTTGGTCATGTTAGCACCGTCGGTTCTTGGATATGCTGTCATTTCTATAGTACGTGTCATTGGAGTGCTATATTTCTGCAGATTTTTAGCAGGTAAGCCGTATGTATCATATTATTTCAAAAAAATAGTTTGAACGTTCTGCAGTCAAAACGTTTTCATTCTATGCACCTATTTGTATTCTATTATCTGATTTTTAAAACTGACGTCAAATAATAGCGTATTTGTTGCTCCAACCAACCGTGTATAGAATCGAAGGCATCGGAGTCATACTCATGACGGTTGCTAGCAACTTCGCAGTACTCGATTTTGCTAATAGGCCGTGAATAGGTTGGTGATACAATATCATATTCATTTGAAAACTTCCCACCACGGATTGAAAACCACTGATTGAAAGAAAAAAAGCCGAGACACTTCAAAAGATTTATCAAGAGGGACAACTTTTTAACCAAAAACTTCTTCACCCCCTTTCACCCTCGGCCCCCCAGGGACATTCCTTTAAAAATTTAAAATGACAAGGAGTATCGAGTAATAGCTTGCTTGAAAGGCCTTTCGCAGTCCTTTATTTCGACGTTTGATTTTTTTAAATCAGTCGATTCGTTTTAGAGCAAATTAGAAAAATCTGTATTTATTTTAATTTGTTCAGCTAGAAAACAACACTTTTTATTTCAATAAGTGTTCAAAATGTTGCCCGTTATTGGCCAAGCAATGATATAGGCGATGTTAAAATTCTTGAGTGACATTTTCAAAAACATGGCGGCTTTTGATGACGCGTTGACGAAGGTCATCCAAACTTTCAGATTGGGGAGTAAGCGCAATAGATTTCAAATGGCCAAATAAAAACAAGTCTAATGGCGTCAAATCAGGAGATCTAGCAGACAGTTCTATAGGCCCCCTTCGCCCTATCCATTTATCTGGAAGTTCGTCGTCTAGCCATTGCCGAACCGGAAGAACATAGTGAGGAGGAGCGCCGCGCCGTCTTGCTGGAAATATATTTCAGCCTCATCAAGTATAGGGTTTCCATCCTTTTCGATTTGCTTTTCAATGGTTTCAGTGAAATAAATATCTCCATTCAAATTTCCATTAATAAACAATGGCCCAATCACCTTGTTTCCTAAAATGCCTGCCCATACATTAATTTTTTGGGGGTACAAGGGTATACTCTCCTACAAAAGCATGAGGATTTTTATTGCTCCAATACCTGCAGTTATGATTATTAACAAATCCATTTAGATAAAATTTGCATTCATCACTGGAGCAGATATTCTTTACATGAATGGCAGTCATTTGTTCACAAAACTCAACTCGCCTATCGAAATCATCTTCGGTTAACTCTTGCAATATTTTCATTTTGAATGGATGACATTTATGGAGTTTAATAACTGTGTGTACAGAGCTTAATGAAATACCAGTCGCAGCAACAATTTTGCGTAATGAAGTATTAGGATGTATTCCAAAATGACCCAAAACTTCAGCTTGAGCGGTTTCATCCAAAACTCTCTGATGATCACGTTTTTTATTTGCAACACATCCAGATTGTGGAAATTTAGTAACAAGGTAGTATCTTCCCCGGATGTCTGGCGTTAAAGGTTACGGCAGTTTGCCGAGCACACTGATTTTGGGCACCATAAATTAGAATCATTTCCACTCTTTCGGCTAGTGTGTAAACCATTTTGGAAGTAAAATCTGAATCAATAAATTAATGTTCACTATCCAAAGATTGCCACAAAGGTAACTGATAGCAAATTAAATTCTTTCTTTCCCTTAGCAACAAATAACTAAACAGGTATAACAATAAATACACTTCGCCCAGGATATCTGTGTTGATGAAAATAATGCGGAAAAAATTCGGGTTGTTATTTGGTTGTTGCCACGTCTAATCATCCGAATTGCGTATGTTGGTAGTTTCCGTTTTAAATTATAAACCAATTGTAGATTTGGCTAACCCTAACGGGCAACATTTTGAACACTTATTGAAATAAAAAGTGATATTTTCGTGTATGAACAAATTAAGATGAATAAAGATTTATCTAATTTCCTCTAAAACGAATCGCCTAATTTTAAAAAATCAAACGTCAAAATGAAGTACTTCAAAAGACCTTTCAAACAAGCTATTACTCGATACCCCTTGTTTTTTAAAAATTTTAAGGGAATTACCCTGGGGGGCTGAGGGTGCAAGGGGGTGTAGTAGTTTTCGGTTAAAAAGTTATCCCCTTTGACAAATCTTTTGACGTATTTCGGCGTTTTTTCTTCTAATCAGTGGTTTTCGATAAATCCGTGGTGGGAAGTTTTCAAATGAACACCCTATGATGTTGTCAAAACAAACAGGATATGAAATAATGTAACATTCTACTGTTTCTTAGTATTTTTACGGTTCGCTGTATAGAAGTGACGGAAAATTTGGTCTTCCAGGTCTCAGCATCGGAGGAATGACAACAGTCGTGCCAACATATACAGGAGAAATAGCAAGCAAAGAAAAAAGAGGTTCTATGCTAGCCATCGTAGGATCATCTGCAGTTTTAGGATTTCTATTTTCTTACTCTGTTGGACCATACGTTTCAGTCCTAACATTGAACTTACTCATTATGGGCTTATCACTATTATCAGGAACCTTGTTCATGATCTTCGCATCAGAAACAGCTTATTTTTACATTCTAAGAGGTGACAAGCAAGGTGCTGAAGCCGCCCTACGTCGATTCAGATCTTCTGAGGAAGAAATCAAAATGGAACTACTTGAAATATCAATCAGAATAAGGGAAGAGCCTCAAGGGAATATATTTGACTTGGTGAAATCTACAACAGTTCTTAAATCATATTTTGTGGCAGTGATGTTACTTGTCTTTCAAAATTTAACTGGAATTACCGCTGTACAATACTACTCCCAGCCAATCTTTGATATGATTGGGGTAGATATACCCACAGAACTTTGCCCTATAATATTAGGGTGTATACAGTACGTCGGGGGCTTTACAGCTTTATTCGTTTACGACAAGTTTGGAAGAAAGATTATCATGTACGTTACAGCTGTTGTAATGATCCTGGCAGAAGTCCCTTTGGGAGTATTTTGTTACTTGAAAGACAGAGGAGATGATGTTAGTTCCATAAGTTTCTTGCCTTTAGTTTGTTTATCAGTATTTATATTTTTCTACAATCTCGGGTGGGGAATGATTCCATGGGTTATAGCTGCTGAAATATTTCCAGCAAAGCTCAGGGTTACTGGGATATGTGCAGTCGCATTTATCAATTGGATAATGGTTTTTATCATAACAAAAACATTTGATAGTATGGTGCGAACATTCACCTTGGGCGTATTGTTTTGGATATTTGCTACATCTTGCTTAATATCGATTATTTTTGTGAAATTTATGGTAACAGAAACGAGGGGAAAATCGTTGGAAGAAATTCAAGATGCTCTAAAGAAAAAGGCGACATCTCCAAAGTAATCTTAACGAGGTTAACGTTGTTATGATAGTTACAAATACATACACTGTATTCTAGAATATATTTGCAATCTCTCAAATTCTTATAGAAACATGAAAATATATTTCAATGAAAAATGTGATCAACCTCTAAAAACAGCCATTGCGGCGTATTCCACTGCCTAGCTATAGAGTGATGTGCTTTTTTGTTATTTATTATATATCAATTGTGGAAAATAAAATAATCGTTTTTTTTTCTTGTAATACAATATTGACTTTATTATTTTTGTATATTCATAATGCTAATGGTAGCGATGACCGCATCATTATTGATGTTATTTACCTATGTCAGCCGGAGTATTCCTTCATTTCAATGCTTATTTTTTTAAGTAACAATTTTTGTTTAAAGTAGCCAAAATAAATCAGATCACACAAATATTTTGAAATTTCCAAGAATCATATTCAGATGTGTTATGAGTTACAGTGAACAAAATTGTAATTTCAGATACTATTTTATATATTTAATCACCAATTTCAGTTATAGCTTAGTCCAATTAAGGACAGAGTGGATTTTGTCAAATAAAAAATGAATAAATAGTAGTTTAAAAAACTAACAAAACACGCTTTTATAGCTTAATTACAAAGAGTTTATTTTATATTACAGTAGTAGATGGTCGAACAATCAATCATAATCAATGACCTCAAAATAAAATTATAATAAAATTTATGTTATTAACAGAATAATTGAATTCGGAGTGAAAAGCGTGGGGTGCTTGATATATTAAATGTTACAATCATTCTACTGGCAACTATCTGTGAGAGGAGAGTTATTATTAAAATGTAGTAAAATGCACCACACACTTTTTACTCTAAATTGAATTATTCTGTTATTCACTTGAATTTTATTATAATTTTATTTTGAGGTCATTAATTATGATTGATTGTTCGACCCTCTACTAGTGTAATATAAACTCTGTATAATTAAAAATTATTTTCTACTTTTTAGTGCGGTTAGCTATAAAAGCGTGTTTTTTTAAACTAATATTTATCAAGCGGGTGATTTGAAATTCATCATATTGTCTAGCTCCGTCCCTGCTTTCAGATCCCTTTTTGGACGCTGGAATAAAGTATATGGTTCAGGTAGAATACGTTAATCAATCGTGGAAGGCACAAACTCAATGTATGTACTTGACATTTTCTGATTGATCGTTAATGACGAAAACAAAAGGGTACGAATATCGTGTCCGCTATGCCCTCGTATATTGAGGAATGCTGGTTGTGGAGGGGTGCGGTTGGCAAGTACGCTCGACGGGGTTCCCTTGTCGCTCGGTCGGGTGCCATTGTACGGCCGTCAAGAGCTCCGAAAGGGCACCACATCCTCTCCTCTCACTCGTAAACCATCTTTATTATTATTATGCGCGGCAACAATTGAAACTTGACGCAACTACTAGGCAGGCTTTTCGAACTCGGCGCTGCTCTGCGATCTCGTAACTACAGACGATGGATGAGCGGACACCTGCCGGGCGGCGAAGAATGGACTTGTGCCTGCTAGGACAATGGAATAGCTCGCAGAGTTAAGGGTTTGTTGACACTCTTTATTTCAATTGAGGATTTGTTTTTTTAATGGAAGCTGTTTTTGAGCTCACAGATTAATTGGAGTTTATTTTAAAGCACGATCATCCATCAGGATAGACGCTGGTTGCGATTCATGTCCATGAAGCGTTTCAATAAGTCAAACAATCCATATTTGGAGTATCGTGGGAGCTAGAAGCACCCCTCCCCCAAATTTTTTTTTTCCAATCGACGCCACTTGCTTTCAGAAACGCTTCTTGAGTCATGTTCTCATTATCACAAGCTAGCTGTACTTGGTTTTCTTACGTCTTACCTCCTCGAGCGGGAATTAGAAGTGACATCACTTTAACTTACATGGCTTCTGGCTCGTGTCCGTCCACGAGCAACAGTGCCAAAATTCTACTATTCGTCTATATCATTTTGCTCGGTTTCACTTCTGTTTTAAATATACATGTTGGACATGCACAAATCAGTGCAAGACATGTTGAGAAGCTCTCAGTGGAACCTGACTTGCACAATCCTGCATGAGTTATGGTCTGAAGTATCATTACCTGTGGTGCTAAGTAGGCACCTCTAGTTCCCATTAGTCGAGGTATGAAGGTGTAACCCTATATCCGGGAAATACGAGATCTTCATCTTTAACCATTTCTCCAAAGGCTTAAGAAGCCTACTTTCAAACAAGACAATAACCGTCCCCATATTGCCAGAGTTACAGCAGCTATCCAATGAATAGACAATGAAGGTAGGTTGTGAATGAACTTCAGGACGAAAATTATACATTCTGCCAGTTATTAGTATCTACCAGATAGCGAAAACCAAAGAAGATCCTAATCTCTTATTGGTTGATTTAACGCGACGGTTATGAGAAAGGAGAGGTAGATATGGTATAATGGTGGCTTACGTTTTGTCTTTGGTTGCCCTCGTCATCGTCATCTCGGTAACGGTAAAACAATAAAACTCGGCGGGCATCGGCGGACGAGTGCTGCGTGTAGACGCCGGTCCGCGGGCGGTCCATGGGGCCCTGGGTCCGTGGCGCCATCCATGACAGAGCCATAGCGCCAGCGGTGGCGATCACCGATAGCGTGGTGGCGATAGAGTCTAAGCAGTACTCAAATGAAAAGGAAACAAACTGCTATAACATCAGCAATGCGTAGGGACAAACAGAAGAAAAATACAACCTCCGCTGGGTTATTACATCAAAAACCTATAAAACGTCAAAAACAAAAACGAAAAAATGTCAACTTACTGTGAGCGCCATCAAAAGCGGTCATCTATGGAGGAATGACTCAACGACAAGACACGCTCAATGACCTTGCTGCAAGCAGTTCTCCATCATGCTTTGTTGGTTACAGTATGCCGAGATTGCAGAGTAGACTCTGAGAAAATCTGTGGTTGAGTAGCAGAGTAGCAAGATCACATGTGGATGATTATCTATACGTCTGCAAGTGTATAAAATCAGTGATACTTGCTATGTGAGTAAATTATTACTGAATTTGCTGCCCATGAAATATATCTATTGGCTGAGCCAGACGGGTTATTTGTGTTGTCCTTTCTGAAGAGATATGTTTAAAGTTATACATTACGATTTTTCCCGTTTCCAAAAATTTTTAGACCCATTTCGGGAAATCAGCACCGCACCCGCGTTGTGTATAATTAAGCCATATCACAGAAAAATTAGGAATGACGCATCACATACAAAACATTATCGCAATGGCTCACATCTAGACGCTGATTTGTATCTTCTACTTGACATCGTAAAATAAATTTCTATAAAATTTAAATGACTGGAAATAAAAATTAAAGTGAACTGTAATAACTTTTTTACGTTTCATAAATATTCCTGTATGTACCATATTTAATCACCTGTTAGTTTAAAACACCAACCACGGATTTTCTTTTTTTATCGCTCTCTTTTGAAATTCTGCAAATTAAGTTGCTAAGTTGACATCGTGTGGTTAAAACTACATAATGTCACAAAAAAAACCTTTATAATGTCAAAAAAGCCGAATAATGTCACTTTTCAAGATACGTAACCCCTGCCGGCCACAAGTCAAAAAAAAGCCACCGGTTTTGAGGAATCTGTACTCACGAAAAGTTTTGGGTAAAATATCGCGTGCTGGTCAGCGAATTTAGAAACAACGGGAACGCTTCTTTGTTGAATACGAAGATCAAGTGTTGCTATACAAGGGATGTCGTTTAAGCTTTGCATATAAAAACATATCAGGCTGCGCGGATCGAACGTCACTACTGAATCTTAACCTCATTCTTTAGTAAACTTAAATTCAAAGTTTCACAACAATACGTACAGTGTTTTCACTACAGTGAATTTTTAAGTGTCACCAAGTCATTAGAAAAATGGAACTAAACCGAGAACATTTTCGCGCCATAATTTATTACAACTTTCAGAGACAATAATTATCATAACAAGAATGCTTTGCTGAGTTGCTGTCTGTTTTCGGCAACGAAGTGCCACATCAGTCGACAGTTTCCCGTTGGTATGGAGAATTCAAACGTGGACAGGTGAGTCTTAGCGACGATCCCATGGTGGGTGCACCAAAAACGGCAGTCACCCAGGAAAACGTCGATGCTGTGCGCAAACTCATCATTGAAGACAGACATGTGAAATATCGTGAGATTAAGGCGTCCTTGAAGATCTCAAAGACCTCAATTAAAAAAAATTTACGTGAAGAATTAGGAGTAAGAAAATAAGTTTCTCGTTGGATACCCCACCTGTTGAATGAAGAGCAGAAAGCAGCCAGGGTTAATTGATGTCAAAAAATGCTTGACCGTTTCAATTTTGGAAACTCAAAAAATATGTGCAGCAAAAAACAAGTATTTAACGGAAGAAAACGTGGAATTATTGGACCATCCTCCATATAGTCCCGATCTAAGTCCTAACGATTTCTTTACTTTCCCGAAAATTAAAAACAGACTGCGTGGTCAAAGGTTCTAGTCACCAGAAGAAGCAGTTGACGCATTCAAAAATGCCGTTTTGGATCTGCCAGCAAATGAGTGGAATAAGTGCTTCGAAAATTGGTTCGAGCGCATGCAGATGTGTATTAATCTTCGTGGAGAATACTTCAAAAAACAATAAAGTCATTTAAAACTACCTACCGTGTTGTTTTATTTCCATCTGCAAAACTTAAAAGATAATAATATTTATTACCCTCATTAGACATGATGTTTGTATTTTTTGACTCCAAACACCTATTATTTTTTCATGAATTTTTTCCCTTTATAATTGTGGACGAAATCGATTATCTATTTAGTTTGTTCCATTACCCAATATAAAACAAATAATGATGCAAATGGTCAGTTTGTTTCAAACATTGAATTTATAGCAAGGTATAATTTATTTTGAAAATACTTCAAAGAATCGTGTATTATTGAATTTCAATTGAAGCTTATTGTATCTAACATATCCAATAAGAATTGCATCAGAAAAGAATCCCGATTTTAAGATTTTCGATTTGGTGCTTTGAATTGTAACGTTTTACTTTCCGATATTTTTTTATGTTAATGTAAATGTTGCTTCAGTTGGACTAAAATCGCATCTCTTGAATCCGATTATAATCACGTTTTATTTAATATTTGACTCAATATTGCATTAAAACTGAGGTTACCACTTATAAGAAACATCCATGAGAAAGTTGGTGTAAAGATAAATGAATCTACTCTTAAAATAACTGTTTATGAATGATGCACAATGGCATTCGAATGTTCTATTCAAGTAGGTACTTAAATGTATGACGACGACTTTCATATCTCAATTTATGCATCATATCTAGGATAAATGCCAATTCATTATGTTAATAGCCATAATCAAAAATCAATGAAACAGT